CATATCTCGATGGCGACTTGTCCGATACAACCGACCTCCAAGACGTTTTGAGTACTTGTGAGCGAGAAGAAATCTCTTCCTCTGGCCCCTCCTTCTGCTTCTGAGCTGGTTCCTCGTTCACCGTTTCGACAGCTTCACTTCCCCTACCTGTCATGGAGGTATCGGCGGCGAAGACCACCACGGGAAGCCTTGAAAAACCAGAGATCGAACTCAATTATTGTCGCCAAAAAAGTCGCCCCTGCTACAGTATAAAATCGCCAAAAAAGTCGCTCAATTATTGGGAAGTGAAGCTGAAAAAGTCACTCAATTCTTCTGTTTGTTAGTTATTCTTCTTTGCATCAACCTTTATTTACAACTAAACAAACAGTTTATCAAAGTTTGTTTTTCCGAATGTTATAGAATCTATGAAAAGCGGAGCATAAATGATATTATGTTTCTGTTGAAACAGAGGAGAAGCAATGATATAAAAGTCTACATATACTTATAATAAAATTAAATTTAGACAAACGAAACCGAATTGAGTATCACAATCTAACAGAACAAGAAGCTCTCTGTCTCAGATTGTGATTGCGTTTAATAGGGATAATATTGGTAATACTGCCGATAGTACTGGTTCCTGAATATGAATAAAACAGTAAATTATATAAGTTTCATGTCAATATACCACACAATTTGCTAGGTAAAGAATGAGAAAATACCAGTAGGGTGGTAGTGGTACTAGATAAAAAGCTAGATGTTGACCTGCCGTTACAACAAAAAACAAAAGAAAGATATATTATTAATGAGAAAATATCACTGCAAATAATTAATCGATCATTGGAGAAAATTGAGAATAAACCGTTTTGGTTTGATTGGTTATTGTGAACCCTAGCACCAATATAAGCAAGTTTGCAACTGGCCACTCGTCCATCTATGATCGGATTTGGATCCTCTCGCAAGCTCTCGTTGCAGAAATTGCCTCTCTAAACGTGACCTGAAAATATTAACTCAAAATTCATGATTCATAAAACTCTATTAATAATTATTCTACTTGTTACATATTGTTAGATACTTACGAAACCAAATCCATTTGATCGTTTTGTTGCTCTGTCACAAACAACATTAGCATTCACAATTTCTCCAAATTTTTCGAAGTAACTTCTGAGACCTTCGGTTTTTGTTATCCAAGGCAGACCTGCCACATATATCTTCTTTTCGGTATCGTTTGGTTGAAACATAGCAAAAGAAATTAAAATTGTAATAGTAATTCGTAGAAAAGGTTAAAGAACTAAAATAATTTGTGTCAACACGTATATGATGATATCTTTTTATATGAAGAAATAGACAAATATCTTTTTCTGGAGAGAATCATCGTTTTGTTCAATTAGGATTTTTCATAAGTTATATAGAAAAACTAAATTAAGTTAAATTAATGTCTGGAAGCTACTATTATATCATAATTAACAAAAAAT